TGTTGGGTGATATTCAACACGTGACCATTATTACGCAATGGGATGCTATGAATTTTTTGATAAAAAATGAACAGATGAAGACTCATGGAATTGGTAGTCTTCCTGTTCAGAAAGCGATGCAAAGATCTTGGGTCACTTTCACCAAAAAGGATGATCCAAATCAACCGTCACACAGGTAACTATCTATATTGTTGATTTAATTATTTTTACCTCGTACTTCATACCTTTACGTTTGTATTTGTCAAAAGATTGCCGACTTCAAGAACGAAAAGCACATTTGCACTCTCAATCACTGAAGACATGACAGTATTCGCCGGCTTCAAATTTATGGTAAGTTCTTCAATTTGTAGCATTTTCTCACTATTTTCATTACAGAATGAATTCCAATAGCTCCTACTCTTTAAAAATAGGCTGTTCATGGTGTCTCATCAGTCGCCATTGTTGATAAGGAAACCGAACCTATCAAACTAGTTGACAATCTCTCCGCTTCCGATATCAAGCATATCTCAATTGAAAACGTTGCTGATGGTTATCGAGATGTCAGCGTGTTTCTTAATAAAATCAGAGACCACCCAAAGATGGTCATCACATGCGAGGAGGATACAAATTTGGAAGAGATCACAAGATTGGCACTAGCCGTAGGGATTCACAGAGTTTGGGTCGTAGAAAAGGGCACAAAAAAACCTTTGGGTATTGTCAGTATGAGTGATACATTGAGCATGTTTGTTGCTGTTAAAGGTGATCATGATCAAGAAAATGAGAGATAAAGATCTCGAATACTTTGTATTGACAGCGACTCACTAATAATTTTGTTTAATTCTCGAATCTTTTTGTGCTGAAAAAGAAAAAAAAGACTTCATGCAGATAAATATTTGATGATTCCGAGTTCTTATTTGTTTTGTAAATAATATGAATATGCGCAGAAAACCCTCCATAAAGAACTCTATAAATGTATTATGATTATTATTCTCTAAATGGATTCCGGGTTTGATTCCAAATTATAAAAAATTCAACAAAATAAATGTATCTTGAATTTTTTTTTTTTTTTTTTACTATGGTTTCGAGGTACAATATATTTAGAAAGTATTAAAAAATTTTTATTGATTAATCATTAATACAAGTATATAATGGTCAGTGATAATCTTAGTTTATTTTTTTGTTGATATAAAAAATATTGAGTCTATTATTCATATTTTATATTTTAATGGTTATATTACAATCTGTGGTTGATTTCAAGAAATTCATTCTTTGAAGATCCCTATATCATATTATAGTCTCAGCACTGTTCTAACCTCCTGCTGATTGTTAGATTGAAATTAATCTACTGTGAGAATTGTTTAAAAAAGTTCTTTGATTTGGTTATACAATTTATATCCAATCTATTCTTTTGAATTGGACAGGAAACAAATTTTAGGATCTTACTTTTAGAACTATGATAATTGTTTAAATACTGTATCAAAAAAATCTCAATATAAAAAAATCACATTGATTCTAACTTGAATATTTCAATATAATATAAAATAAAATTTAAATAATTAGAAATTGGATGAAATTAATTTTTTTGATATTACAGGTAATAAGAAAGAAATAGTATTAATAACTTAAGAATAATTATCTAAAATTAAATGAATAGGATAATTGAAATCTTATCAAATCAATTGAACTTTTCATTTGTTCCATACCTCGACCTTATTATTATAGTTTAACAAGATTTAAATTAAATCAAATTAAATAATTTAAACTAGTAATAGGAATTCTTTCTTATAAATTTTCCCATACATATGAACTTTTCTATTTGGAATTTAAAATAAATGTATTATTAAGTAAAAAAAAAAAAAAAATTTAGACAAAAACTATATTAATTTATATATAATAATAATAATTTTTTTTTTAATTCCTCTATCAGGCTAGATATGTGTGTTTTATTAAATATATGTATACTTTATATTAAAATGTATCATTAAAACTAAGTCTTTACCTAACTCACTTATTTCTATTTTAAAAATTATTAAAACTCTAAGTGTAACTTTGGAAGTAATTTATCACTCCATTAAATAATTCAGGTAAAGACCCTTCCAACTGTTAACTTCATTATCTGCAGATCACATTGTGAGGTTTGATAGAGCTTAAAACCCAACCATTTTATTTCATACTCTACTCTTTTTATTAAAATTTCTTGAAGGCTTTATTCTTGAAGATCTTCCTGAACATGGCTGTAAGTTCATCACATATCTTTTCATTCAGGTGTGAATGTTGCATTCTATAGTCTATTCTTGGAATCAACATCCTATTGATAACATATCAAGCATGCTTTTCTGTCAGCTTCTTTTTGGATATAGCCTGGACTATTACCCTGATTTTTGATTTAATTAGACTGACTATATCTTGATTTCTTTGTTTTGGTCCTAACCAGATACCAAGGAATCTGGCCTGGTTTT